TCAATAACTTGAGAACGTTATAATAAAATTCTATAGGGTGAGTAATATTTTCTAAAATCTGGCATATTAGAACTTGTGTGCTTTTTGTGTATAAGTCACATACCATATCCTGCTTATTATCTGCATCCGTGTTTATATATTCCGGGAACAGAGTTGGCTGGCCAGCAGCAGTTGTTCGAACAAAGTCATAAGATAATATAAATAGATTGCTTAACTTTTGTCTCAACAAAAATTCTTGGCTTATTACGCGACTGATGAAAATAAACAAATTATGAAACGTTGCCATATAAGCACTTGTGGGTAAAAGTAGTATAATTTTATAGTGGTATTGGACTTCGATTTTTCTGACCCAGCGAAAGTTAGAAGTCTTGAAAGTAGTCATGGAAAGGGAAGGACCTACTTGCCGTGATAAGAAAAATTGGGTCAGCTAATCTAAAATTATCGTCCCAAGAAGCACTCAGAATTACCCATATTTTCCTTCTAGAGACTAACAATGCAGGTTTTTTTCATGTAAAACTGGGATTTGAACGAGACATATACCAAAAAATCAGTCTACAAATCACAAGACACGTTTCTTTTGGAACTTTTTCCAATACTCAAGCGTTGACGTGCTATTACGTCACGAAGTGACGAAAAATGTGACGGCCCCTCCTATGCGAGTCGCGCTGACTCCCGTCCCACCGCTTCTCCAGAAATGACCTCTCACTCACTCTCGCCATATTTTCTCTCACTCACTTTTTTTACTTCCTCATTCGTTCACTACTATAATTTTATTTCTTGTAAAATGGACAGCATTAATTTTTTATCAGTTGCCAATGCTCTCGTTAAAATTATTAAAAATACATATTCATATGACGAAACACCACCTAATATTGAAGAGGAAGAATTGGCACAATTACTGCTTGAAAAATTACACGACATAACTCACGAATTTATATTCATCGATGAAAATGAAAATGGTAAGGTGTCTTGCTTTATTTTGTATATATAAAGTGTTTTAATAGTGTGTCAAAATATATTTAGGCGACGGACCAAGTGAGGACGATACGTTCCAACCATATACTGACCAAGAAGGAAATTATATACTACCATCTGAAGTTTCAATGGAATATAAAAAACGGGCAGTTGAAGAATTTGAAAGACATCCGGGGTGGAAATTCTTGACATTCCAACAAAATTTCAGCAAAGTACGTCAACCCAACTATATAAACCGATGGAAAAAGCAAATTGAGATGGGTGGGACGAAATACGAATTATTCATAGAAATCGAAAACTATGTTTATCAACAATTTAAGTTATGTAGGGAACAATATCTCCCTGTTCACGATATGGATTTGAAGAAGTGGGCGATACTCAAAGCGTCAGAATTTAACGGATTAATGTTTAAGGCGTCTCATTCGTGGCTTAACACATTCAAGCGACGTAACAGAATTGTTTCACGAAAAATTCAAAAACTTGTGAGCTTCCGTGCTGTAACGGAAGTTGAGGACATACAACAGGATGCTGAAGATTTCCGTGCGCAGATTGTTCCACTACTCAAGAACTTTGCACACAACAAAATATTTAATACAGACCAAACAGGCTTCCGATATGAAATGGTATCAGCTAGAACACTATCGACACAAGGGGAGAGATATACATTTGGTTCTTGTTCGTCGCCAAAAAACAAATGCACCCACAGTTACACAGTTCAATATGTTATAACATATGCCGGAGATATCCTTGACCCTGTATTCATATGTCTGCAAGAAAACGATGGCACATTTGGACCAAGAGTGCTGGATACGATGTTTATTGCTCCAAATATTTATGTGACCTGCACAAAATCTGGGAAACTGAATCGAAGTAAGGTGGAAGAATTTCTGGATGAAATAATCGTCAATAATCGGAATGGAAATTTACTTTATATTCAAGATATGTGGACAGGCCAAACAGACAGAAGACTTTACACATCTCGATGCACCGATGATCTTAATATGGATGTCAGATTTATTCCCGAACACTGTACCGATGTTTGCCAACCGCTAGATACCTATTTCCACCGACAGCTGAAGTACTTGGCCAGACAGTTTTATTCTTTTGAAAGCGTGCACGCTAAAACTCCAACACCACAACTTCTGACTAGAGACGGCTTGTTGAAAATGCAATCTCTTGTACATTATTTATTATCGGCCCCCGTATTTCGAAATATGATCAAGTACTGTTGGTTTTCGAGTGGGATCTGGGACGGAGAAGATAGACCAGTTTTTCGCAATGTTAAGGAAGTGTGCTTCAACTTTCATAATGATATGAAATGTTCTTCAAATGATTGTACTAATATGGCATTTATTTCATGCAGCTGGTGTAATAGTGTTCTTTGTTTTGATGAATTTTTTTATGATTATCATTTAATGTACTGTCCAGCTGGACCCTACACCTAAATAAACTTATTTAGAAAATATTAAAAAATGTACTAAATTACTTTAACTATAATGTATTTTAAATATTAAGCTGGGGGAGTAAAATGAGTGAGAGAAAATATGGCGAGAGTGAGTGAGAGGTCATTTCTGGAGAAGCGGTGGGACGGGAGTCAGCGCGACTCGCATAGGAGGGGCCGTCACATTTTTCGTCACTTCGTGACGTAATAGCACGTCAACGCTTGAGTATTGGAAAAAGTTCCAAAAGAAACGTGTCTTGTGATTTGTAGACTGATTTTTTGGTATATGTCTCGTTCAAATCCCAGTTTTACATGAAAAAAACCTGCATTGTAAGACGCCTTCGAAGGGACACCAGATATTGGGACTTTTCACCTACTTTGCTGTTATGTTCATAAGGACTGGTCCCATCCTTTCCGTCGTCACGGCGTTTTTGGGAAATCGTTTCGGCTTGGATCATTTTTTCTACGTTTTCGAGGTGTTCTTACCTACCCAAGTGCTTCGATATCACTCGCTTACAATTTCTGCCGTGCGATTTATTTTAAGCACATGATGCGTGTTTGGATTCATCTGGACAATGGTGTTCGTCATCGCTGTGGCGGCCGGAGTAGTCGACTTCTTTCTTACCCTAATACAGGAAATAACGCAAGAAAAACTCCATTTTGGTTTGGCCATACGTGTGTACGCCATGATGCACCTAGTTCTTCGATCTGCTCAAGGGCTTACTGATCTCGGTATTAGTTTAGTGATAACAGCATTAATGAGTTCTAGTATTATCGCCTTGTACCTGTCCTTTTCTATATACACCTTAGTACCATTAGCAATTTATTGGTTAGTTCCTTTCATCGCGGTTACATCACTCGGCTTGTTACAAGTCCTCGTACTCCCTTTCATATACATGCACGAGGAGTCGGCCTTTGTCATTCTGAAGATCAAATTTGTGCCGATAAGTCTTCCTCAGTCTTTGGCTGGGAAGCCCTTCAATCTAAGGAAATTGGTGAGCAGAAGAATTAGAACGATGCGGCCGTTCACATTTTACGCTGGCCTATATGATTACAGATTCCTTAAATTATGGAGAAGTACGAACATTGCGATTATTGAGAATATTTCTGGTATTACTATATCTACGCTTTTGGCCAGCAGGAATTAGAATATCTAAATATGCACACAAGCGTAGTGTGGTCTCGGTCTTACATTTTGCACATTATAAAATGTGATGAACAAGCTGATTTAAATCCATTAAGCTCTTTCCGTACGAAATAAGAAATTGCATGAAGTTTAATTTTCGGGGAATAACCAATTTCAGAAAAGAAATCACGAACAACTGAAGGTGAATCCGTGCATATGTCCGGTTGTTCCTTTATATTGCGAACGATAAGATGGAAGCAAGGATCATGTACATATGAAAAAACGAAGCAATCCTTTCTTGGCAAAATATCGCCTACCACAGTAGGCCAGATGGCACGTAAACGCAAGGGTGATTTTTGCATCAGGACTTAAGAAACAAACCATTGTTCAACACTATTTTATAAGAAGTCTGGTTTCGAAAATTAGAAAAGATACATCTCCAAATTTGACCTTGCCTCGTTTCCAATGCAGAAAACCGGTAGTCAGACTGCTAACCTATAGTTTGAGACATGAGTCATTTCACTTAAAAACGTTAAAACTTTCTCCAACCATTATAAAATCCATCCCGTAATTAAAGTATTCGTTCATCAAAAATATTCTGTATGTGTTTTTCAACTTATGGAGTGAAATTTCCCGCCACATGAATCGATGTAGTAGCTGTTGCATTTCATCTTACATAGATTCTCACGTGAAGTGAAAATCTATTACCAACATCAAGTATGAGAAGTTTTACCTCGCAAGTTATATTCATTTTATTGACTACATACAGTTTACAAGTTCATATTATAGCCCTATATTTATATGTATGTATGTAATATTAATAATATTTATGTATTTAATAAAATTATTTTATTTCATTGAATTCTTACAATTCTTTAAAATCAGACACATTTTGGTGACTTCACATCGACAGGTGTGGAAACGCAAAGCAAAGGTGTTTACCTATTTATGTACTCCCATAGTTACAGATTCAACAAATAAATAAGTACTGGCTACAGTACGAGTATTTAGTTGCCGCAAATAAATATTAATAAACGCGGATATTTACTGCGGAACTTCTTGACTAGGTTAGTACAACAGATCGCTACCACATCGTTAGGTGAATGTACATACATAGATATGCAAATAAGCAAAACCATATTTGGTATTGCATAAGCGTAACAGCTCCCAACGAATGGGTGCACCCTCTGTACACAACTGTGGGGAAGCGTGGTGTCCACATCACTAACGGACATAAATATTAGAAGCGTTTTTCATGCAGGTTAATCAAATCCGTCTAGAAATGATCCCTCACAATAACTTTGGATTTGGTTCACTTGAATTCTTAGATGTCTTTGTAATAGTCGCGTCACCTCCGGTCAATATTTTTTTCATAATTATATTATTTATTGCAAGTGATGTAAATACATATCTTTCATATTATCATTCTAAATTAAAGGAATCAATTTTTGTCCTCGTCTACGTATGTATAATTGATAGTACTATCACAATAAATAATAAGTAAAATAGTCCTTTTTGCACAAATTTTGAAACTTACGTTTGCCTGGATACATAATTCAGAAATGATAAAGTCTTCCGAAGATTCTCACCCAAATTGTGCCCCGGGAACTAATTCACTACCCGAAGTCTGTCCTGTTATTGAAATATTACCTGAACATGGAGGCCAGGAATTTACAGGATTTAATCTCCCCGAGCACCCAATCCAACCAATTACTTTTGTCTCCACGGACAAGTAAATTTCAATATAAGCATAACTTAAATTCTCTAATTTTTTAAGTTAGAACGGCATCTCAAAAATTTTCAGCTCATTCCATCCCAGGAAGGAATCCATACGTGTAAAACTCCCACTCGCCACGACTTGCGCCTTACCCATCGTCGTAATTATTCTTGTCTGGATAATATTTAATTTACGAGGGAAACCCGAAATACCTTTACTTTTACCCCAGGAAGATACGGAGCTCCAATGTTTTTCTCCAAAATTGGCACCTAATCTGGACTTTTCATCGGGAAAGAATGCCCCCAAAGTAAAGACCACGTCCGTCCGGTCGTTCCCAGACTTATGCAAGATAACCAATCAAACAGAGCAAATCACCCTGGACCCTTGCAACATTTTGGTTAAAGATTGGTCAGACTTTGACTGGAAGTGTCTTCCCCGAATAGAAAATGCTAACGGCTTGGAAATTGACATCCTCACCCTGCAAAGAGACTGGCATTTTGCCCATAGCACGTTAAACTGGTTGAGCTCGTCAATTTCTAAATTAACCGTTGACGCTAAGCAGTTTAATTGTTCCATGGATACAATTGAGGATTATGCGAATAATTATAATCAAATCGTTCTTTCCGAATTGGTTAGTCTCGACGTTAAAAATATTAGTGCATGTTTCGTTACGAAATTTGTGAGGGTTTTTGACTTCCCAAGCATAGAAAGGGTAAATATTCATGGGTCTGATGAGAAGGAGGCGTATCATCGCACTCTCATCACGATATTTAGCAAACAGTCGGAAAAGTTTGCAAGCGTAACCACATTGTGTACCAACAAATGTCGGTAATAAAATATGGCGTAAAGTATACGTTATGTTTTTTTGTGCTTCCGGAATCAATACACAATTTTTGCTATCTTGTTTAAAACTGTTTGTGTTTCCGTGAACACTTCGCAATATCTAATTAAATAAGACGAGGAAGTAAAAAAATATGTAGTTGGGATGGGTGGGAGATATATGGAAGAGTCTAATCAGCAAAAATTAAATAAAATACGTAGATATTTATACACATTTACAAGACTGTGACGCAAAGTCGTGTTTATGAAGTTTATCGCATCCTGCTCCCTTATCAATTCCTTATCGGACATGTCCGTAATCTGTGGTCTGGGCTGTGTCATCGTGAACACAAACTTCCTGTTAATTTATTAATTTCATCCACACGAGCGACATAGCTGGAAGTTGATGAAATATACTAAATTTCATAGTACAAAACACAATCGTGTCTAAGGGGCGGATTCACTATTTCTTTTTCTGCACAGCGGACGGTGAGAGAATAATTTTTTAACAAAAATGATCATTTTACGGTATGTATTTTATAATCAGACATTTTTCTTCAGTGCTTTTTTGGTACATACACTTTGTAAGAATTGTACATAGATGCAACGAAATATTTTTTAAAATTTAACAGGGATTACATTTGGTTTTTGATTTTTCCTGAAAAATTTATAGCGAACGGAACGGGAATTGATGTTATATTATGATGCAGCATATGTTCGTGCATGTGCATGCCAAATTTCGCATCTCTAGGACAAAGTTTAAAATTTCACATGAATCAGTCCAAAAGTAGGGAAGAGCGCGTGCACGCTCGATTCCCAGCAAAACAGGACTTTTTGTCCGGACCAGAATCCCACTCAACATCAGCAGGGCTTTCTAATTAATTAGTAAATCTAATTAATTAGCTAATTAAATAGCAATGTCTGCCTAATTACTAATTACTAATTAAAGTTAATTAGTCGAATACTACCTAATTAAAATTACTAATTAATTAAAATGATCGACAAACCAATTAATAATTAATTTGTATTTTCTAAAAAAAATTAATTTTTTAACGCATATTTGTCGTTTAGCCCTTAAAAAATTTTCTTCGCGGCAGCATATATACCATGGGTGCTTTATCAACTTCAAAGCGTTTTTTACGTTTGTAGTTGCAAAAGACTTACCATTACATAACACAAAAGACTTACATAACCATTTTCTCTTCGTTAAAAACGGTGTGATCCCTCTTAGAAGTCCACGTCATTCGTTCTTTCGGCCATTGAAATTGAGCTTCTTTTTGCTTCTGGGGACGCACCGGTTTCGTCTTGGTTTTCCACTTGCCGAGGTTGGGGCAAGCAGACATGACTTGATTAGTCTCAGGTGTTGAAACAGGAAGCTGGAACTCCGCTTAAATCTGGATAATCGTGACACAAGGGTCGCTAGAGCGACGGAGAATGTTGCATTTTTACATTTGTGTCGTTTTAGGCGTGCGTCCTCGGTTCTTTGTTCTACCGAAAGTGTCCCCCTTGACCTTAAACCTTGTTACGGCGGGTCGGCGGACACTTAGGTGAGTGTACGTTTCGGAAATACTCCGCCGTAAAGCACATTGAGCTTCTACTCTGCCCCTCTGCAATAAGTACGGGAATTTGCCCCTCACCATGTAAAATCGACAGAAGAAAAGAGTTAATTTACGTCATATATTGACCAGAATATCACCAATATACTCACAATTTAATTTCTTGACAAGCTGAATCAGATTCTAATTAAGTCCGTCAAAAACAAATAATTTATTGTGAGGTGTCCTTGTTTTACTGGCCACCTGATTTTAATATATTATTTGATAATTTATCCGTCCCTGGACTAATTTTAACGAAAATTTGCGACAAGACTACTACACACTGTAGTACTTCATAGTGAAAAAATCAGCTAAATATCTTGAAGGGCCTTTGAGAAATTAGACAAATGGTTAGGTGTCCTTGTTTTACCGGTCGGAGTGTATCTCCCACATCAAAAATCGTAAATCGTCTTGCCGGTGGTTTGCATTGTGTCAAGCTCCGAATATACACACATAAATATGTTTGTACTCTATAAAACGGAAATTTACATAAGCATTATGATCCCGATTAGCTAATGCATCAAATCAAATTGGATGTTATTAACCTATTGGTAAAGTTAAGTGTACTTGCGAATGGATTTAAAGTCAGAGTACAATTTATTTCGCTAGCCAGTGCATGTATTAGTGCAACAAGTATATTTGCTTCAAGAGGTGCACTAGATTGGTTATATTATAAAAACATGATTTGATTTATTAACACCACTCTCGCAGCCGGTATCTCACGGGAAATTGTTTTTTTCTGATTGGCACAACCCAAATTTTCCACAGGATGGAAGTCTCGCATCTTCTCCCCGAAGAGACAATTTTAGAAATGACCGAAAATACTCCAAATTCCATAAAGGAAACATTATACGAAGGTTTACAAGCTTGGAAAGAACGTCAAGGAAGTATGGCAACAGTGGAACAGCTCGTCAAAATTTTGGAATCGTTAAACTTTCACGACGCAGCAGGTGGAAAAATAATAACTCCAGTATAATAAAACAAGGTAACAATAGGCTACATTCTTAATTATTTTATTGTAGAAAGCATACGCGAAAGGACCGCAGAATTAGGTCCGCAAGATCCCACCTCGATCCCGGGTTCGTCAAGGTCCGTCTCCACAAGCACTACTACTGAAACAAATTTGGAAGAAGACTATCCCCTTTCAAATATGGGTACCCTTAGAAATAACAATGTTTCATCACTACCACCAGGGTTGCAGAAATCTCATCTCACCTTCAAAAATCTCACCTGACTGAGATATAATGAGAAATAGTGAGACGTGATAAATATGAGATATAGTGAGATTTATGAGCCATGCACTAGCGCCACCTAGCGGACGGGGTCATGAGCTACAAGTTTAGCTCATTGTTTGTCATATTTCTCACTCAGCCCCAACTTACAATGCGATGATGTGTAGTGTAACCCTCCGATTTGGTTGAAATTTTGAAATTATGTGGTCCATGTTAATACAACCAGCGTTTCTTGATGCAGTTTGTGTGATGGTCAGAATTTGGAAAAATTTTTAAGATCAAAGTTGAAAAACGGGCGATTTTTCGCACGCGGAGGAAGCTAACTCAACTTCCATTCCTTTCCCGTGCAAAAAATCGCACATATTTCAACTTTCCTCTCAAAAATTTTGCCAAAGGAGGACGCACCCTTCTTATGAGAAAATCCCCCCCCGTGATATTTGCCCCAAATTTTGATATGTTGTACACCTCGAGGTGCTGATCAAAAAATGTATTGGTCCCTAAGCCCTAAGTGACCTGGTTCGACCGGAAACAGAGGTCAAAGGTCAGTGCACTTTTTCGCTCGAAACCCACACAAACCGTATATTTTTGGAAAGCTACGGACGTCACGAGTCCGAATATACATCATAATAGGGTCGACGGTCAACCTTTGACCTTTCGAGGTCAAGTAAAAAAGTTGCAAATGTGTTTTGCTGTTGCACACAGTTGCACACAACAGCGATAGAGTCGACTAAGCTTGTTGCCATGCACTCGGCTGACCGGAGTGCAGCAGAGGTCCGTAAGGTCCATTAAAAGTCACCTTGCCCAAATACCTGACCTCCAAAGGTCAAAGGTTGACCGTCGACCCTATTATGATGTATACTCGGACTCGTGAGGTCCGTAGCTTTCCAAAAATATACGGTTTATGGGGTTTCGAGCGAAAAAGTGCACTGACCTTTGACCTCGGTTTCCGGTCGAACCAGGACACTTAGGGCTTAGGGACCAATACATTTTTTGATCAGCACCTCGAAATGTATAACATATCAAAATTTGGGGCAAATATCACGGGGGGGGGATTTTCTCGTAAGAAGGGTGCGTCCTCCTTCTGACCATCACACAAACTGCCTCAAGAAACGTTGGTTGTATTAACATGGACCACATAATTTCAAAATTTCAACCAAATCGGAGGGTTCACACTTCACTTCACACCTTCGCATTGTAAGATGATTGATATAAATCACTAAATCTCACTAAATCTCACTAGGTGATATATACCACTTGCAACCCTGCCTACCACTCTATATCCACATTATACCGGGAAAGGCGAAAAATGGTTTTTAAAATATTATTTGGCAATAATTTCAAGTATTTTTTAATTATTATTAATTGCTAAAAATCTGGTAGAGTCAGACAGATATATGCCCCGTAATCCTATTGATTTTGTAATAACTTCTTACCAGACTATGGTGCAAACATTCAAAGAATAGGCTAACTCTTGCTAATAACTGAAGTTCACCATCATAAAGGCGATGGTGTGACGTAAAATTCACTATTAAGCTTAATGTAATGTGGGAAATTGAACGATGAAATTTCGAAAGTAAGTGGTCCATGCCAATATAACCAAAATTTTTTCAGGCAGTTTGTGCGATTGTCAGAATTTGCCAAAATATTTTAGGTTAAAGTTGAAAAATGTGCAATGTTTACCACTGGAAGAGAATGGAAGTTGAGTTAATTTACTTCCTCCGCCTGGTAAAAATCGCCCGTTTTTCAACCTTGACATCAAATATTTTGACAAATTCTGACCATCGAACAAACTGCCTGAAAAAATGTTGGTTATATTGGCATGGACCACCTAATTTCGAAATTTCAAACAAATTGGGTTACACACCATCGCATTGTATGGGTATCTAACAAGTTCACACGGCATTAACAAAATCTTGCATTGTTAACAAAATTCCGAATTGAAAACAAAATTGTGTATTGCCTTATAAATCCCGGATATATGAAGCTACAGTAATGAGGTCACGCTGGCTAATATTGGCAAGACCCGAGTTTTTCCCTATCTGGCTCATTTTAGCTAGCGTGACGTATTTAATGTAACTTCCCAAAGCAACAGGTTTATCCTATGAACCCGTTGTAATATTACACACGTAACACACGAAATTTAAATTTTGGGATACAATATTTTATAAATCGGACCTTTACATTCAAAGCAGTGGCTAAACATAAATCCCTAGCATATAAAAATTTTTTATTTAACAGGATATTCTCGAATTATTGACGTCAAACGAGCACGAACGTGGAGCAAACAAACAATTGTGATTGGTGTCCTTGTAATTATAGTCCTATCCGCGTTTCCTGCATGGTATTACGGCATCATACCGATTAGAATGCAGGATAAATACCCTGCGAATCAAAACGAAGTAGTAACAAGCACGGAGAATAATACTACTTCCCCGCTATTGCGTGAAAACGAATCTTTAGATTTACAGATAACTAGATGTCGGAGAATTCATGGAACATCCTAAATACCTGGTATGCAGTACCCAATTAAAATTACGTAATCTGACTGAATTTAGTGTAATATGTAACCCAATTAGATACAGTATAGGTAATTGAAAATTTTAATAATTTGATAGCCAAACAACTAATGAAGTAAACAGCACCCCGTAAATCACGACTTCGTGGTGTTGCAAAAAGTCATCAGATTATGGATTACATAATTATGTAGATTACTTTGCTCTTAAGTTGTTGTCTTTTAAAAATAAATTAAGAATGTTTTTATTTGTTTAATTACTCTAATAAAATACTTTTCTGGAGTTAAAATCGAGCGTGAATTTTTCCTGCACTTATTATGTTACGCTGATGACACCGTAGTGCTTAAAGGAATACTTCGAGGAGCTTGGAATAAAAATTAACTTAGACAAAGATAATGGTATTTAGGAAGGCTGGGAGGTTGCAGCATGGATTAGGTTTCAGATATGGTGATGATAAAATATAAATTGTATCAGAATATACATAAATGGGTCCTATTTTCGTCCTCTGGAGTATATACCAAGCTTGCGAAACATTTTAAGCAGAAGGGAATTGCAGCAATGGGATCTGTGTGGAAAGTTTTAATTGAAGGAAAAGCTAACTCATGGCTTGCAAAGTACACATTATTTCGTTCTATCTGTGCTAGCACCACGTTACACGCCAGTCATTTATGGAAACTCCGATATTTAGAACTGTTAGAGGATGTGCAACAACATTTTTACAAGAAGCTGTTGGGTATAAGTAGATGCATCCCTAGATATATTGTTCGCTTAGAGTTCGGAGTTCCCCCTATGAAGATGCACATAATCAAGCAATGCCTGCACTATATGATGAGGATTTGTAATATGGAAGAGCATCGCCATACTAAGAGATGCTTTATTGCTTTAAGCTGGCACCAGACTCCATGATTTACTCATGCCTTGCTTATCACCGTAACCATAACGTTCTCGTACGATAATTTATCGCATCTATACTTGCTTTCCTCATGCCTTCATCGTCACCACGAAAGCATTCCCATTTTCTCTAGAAATTCATTCATAAATTGTATATCTATTAAAAATGCCCTCGGTAAATCGTGAGCTGGCACTGAAGATTCTTCTTCTTCGACGAATTCGACGCCGCTTGAAGCGTAAACCTCGTCAACTCTACATGAGGAAAATTTTTGAGCAGCGACTCGATCATGGATTTCTTGCTAAACAACTTCGGGACGATCCTCAATACCACCAACTATATTTTAGGTATGAATTGTTTTAATTAATATCGTCTCAGATTAATGGTTTAACAAATTGTTTAAATTATTGTTGAATGCTTCAACTATTGGATGGTTTTTAGAATGAATAAGGAAAATTACGACGAAATTTACAATCTCATATGCAGTGAAATTCAAGGAAAGAATACCCATCTGCGGCCCATTTCTGCTCATCAGAAGCTTGCAATTACGTTGAGGTGATGTCAACTTTTCAGAATCCTTTGTTAATATTTATTCTAATCATATATTTATTATTAAGATACTTGGCGACTGGGAATACGCAAATGGAGATGGCGTTTTCGTATAGAGTCTCACCACAATCTGTGTCCGTTATTTTGCGAGAGGTCATGATGTCCATCTGCACAAAACTTGGGCCACTACATTTGAAGAAACCGATGGAAGAAAACTGGAAAGATAACGAAGCTGGATTCCGGGAATTGTGGGATTATCCAAACGCATGCGGAGCGATGGACGGAAAACATATTAGGATCCGATCCCCTGCACATTCCGGCTCCACCAATTATAATTATAAGAACTTTTACTCGATCGTCCTCCTTGCAATTGTTGGACCCGACTACAAGTTCACTGCCGTGGATATCGGTGCTAGTGGTTCTCAATCGGACGGAGGTGTTTTCGGGAGATCTTCTCTGGGAAACGCCCTTCATTTAGGAAAACTTGGGCTTCCACCCCCCAAGCAGGTCGGTGAAACTTGTCTTCCACACGTCTTTCTCACGGACGACGCCTTTTCCCTAAAACCAAATGTCATGAAACCGTTTCCTGGAAAGTTCTTGCCAGCCCCGCAGCGGATATTCAACTACCGCTTAAGCAGAGGGAGGATGGTAGTAGAAAATGCATTTGGCATTTTGTCTGCGCGGTGGAGGATATTTCACGCCCCCATAAATTCAGATCCAGAGCTTACTAAACTAATTGTTCGGTGTGCTGTCATCCTCCACAATTTTCTCATTTCAAAGAAGGATCTATCCAACATAACCACTGACGGACCACAATATGGAGAAACAGGAAACTGGAGAGAGGAAACTGTCGGCGACACTGGAATGGAAAGGCTACACATTGAAAACAGCGATCATCCTAACTTAAGTGGGGGTGAAGTTAGAGAAGAGTTCTGTCGATATTTTAATAATGAAGGAGCTGTTGATTGGCAGCATGAACGAATTTAAGTTGAAAGGTTTAAAATTGAATTGTGTTTTTAGTGTGTGGAATAAAGTTTTAACTTGTGTTGGGGATGTTGGCTCCCAACGAGCAATTGTGTGAAAGTTAGTGTTTCGAAATTTGTGGATGGTTTGTGAAGGTAGAAACTGAACGGCAGAGTTTCTGTGCGGATAGCGAGACTGCACAGAAGTGTGTATGAATGGAGTTTCTGTGCGGATGGCGAGATTGCACAGAAGTGTGTATGTGGAGTTTCTGTGCAGTGTAATGATGCGGCACAGAAATGGATCTGTCCAAAATGTAAGAATGGACAGATTGTGAATGAGGCAACTTGAGACGATAGGAGATTACTAATGTCACTTAATTATTGTATTGTCATAAAAATGTGTAAGTTACAAAAAGATTATCTTGAAGTAAGCAAAATAGATAAAACTGAGAATAAGCATAATTGAACTTCAAAGCGAAGACAATGACATGGTCATAATTATAAAACACGCTAAATTGAAATACATTTACATTTCTGAACAACTTGACTTATCCAATCCGAAACCGGCTATGTTGACCATTTTGTTCTTGGCTATTTATTCAATCCACGATACTTAACACCAATTATATAATTCATATGAATTCCTAATTCGTACACAATATAACGCATTTACATATTAAGAACAAAATATTTATCCCGATAAAAGTGACCTCATTTCAGCTTCGTGAACAAGAGAGTTGATACTGTATTGTAGTTCTAAAAATCTTTTTCGGTCTGAATTTCTTAATAGTCGAAATTTCTCGGCAAGTGTTTTGCAATATGTATCATATTCATCTTGGCCGTTTTTTAGCATTCCCAACAACTCTTTGTCGAATTCATCAAGTTTCCTCTAAAATAATAACCAGCAACAAATTATTGGCAAATTACTGATTATTACAAGAAGAAACGAACATTTATAAATGTAGCTCACCTTTCCAAACTTGGCGTGTGACCGTCCTGGGGGTACCTCTTTGTTCCGAGGTAAAATTGTTGACTCAATCTGGCTGACGGAGCCCATGCTTGATAATTCTATCGCAATTTCATCATTGATCATCTGAGAATTTTCCTCGTCATCATCAAGATTAGAAAAATTTCTGAAATAAAATCACAAAATATTGAATTTTATCAATGAAATTTGTCAATTTCTTGATTACTCCTCATCTGGTTCTACAGTCCCCTTCAAGAAAAGCATGGCATCTTCGTGGCGGAAAAATGCTCGCCCTCCACCACTTCCTGTTGGTTTTACGAGTCGCCGTAAAAACGAAACAAACTGACTCCTCAAGTTACCCCAAAGTGACTTCTGCTTTGTCTTCTATGCAAAGCATACAATTCTAGATTTTAAGTAATCTAAATTGGACTAAAATCATTGAAATATCTAAAAACTCACCTACTTTTCCCAGCAATTTCCCCACCTCCAGCCACGCAGCTTCTTTTTTAATCAAATTTTTGAAATCGGGATGAAGTTTGTTCCAAAGGCAAGGACGGTCACGCACTGCATCAATCAATTGCACCTCTTCTTGCAGTGAATTTTGTCCTTTTTTTGGTGGCATAATTATTTTTGTAACGTTTATTGGAGCCAAACAAGAAATGAGGAATCGTTTTGCAGTCATCCAATTTTGCCTTACTTTAACAACTAACTTCCCCTAGATTTTGTAATAAAATGTTCCTAAGCTACAAAAGGTCAAGCAATCGTGGCAGTCATCCATACTTTTTTTTTCTGAGGTGATGAGCACAGCAAGAGGAAGTATGGATGCTGTGTAAATGTTGTCGAGGTGATAAGCAAGGCATGAGTAAATCATGGAGTCTGGGGCCAGCTTTACTCTCCACTGAACTGGGTGTCCACTGAACTGGGTTGGGCAAGTAAATAAGCTACTGGAAGAAATGGGTTATGGAAACTTTATGCACTCTTTAGATGCATCTCTGACCCCAGCTATGTATGCTGGAGCGAGTCATTGATATTTCACGTCAAGAGGATATAAGTAAAGTGAACTGTTCCACAGGATACAGCCACGACAAAGAACTTATTAACTCGACACCAGGTCCAGCTCCTTATCCTGAGTTCAATCTACCTTTTAAAAAGTTGACCCTAATAGCATAGGCGAGACTAAATTTAACATCCTGTAAATTTATCATGAGAAACATATTCACACTACTGGATTGGACTGACGCAATAAAATGCTCAGAACTTTCTACACAGTTAATGCAATTTCAAAAAACTTGCATATGTTTACTACCAAAGGGTTTGGATGCCATACAGTTCAAATTTTTATAATTCAGTTCTCTATCTGCTATAGATTGCATTTTCTTTTCCACACGATAAGAAATGTAGCTCTGTTAGATAGATAGCTCAACTTGCCTCAACTTGGTGCGGTGCACGGGCCTTTCCACACTTAGCACCAGAGCACGTCCACACAGAAAAGTGTGCATCATATTACAATACAACAAATGATCTGAACGAAAATCATTCATTTTATGGGTTATAATTTAATCAAAATAGCGGAAATAAGTTTTCAATTTTTTCACGGCGGTCTCGAAAAACAAAAACGTTGTCAATTTTTGAAATTTGGTATAGAAATTATGGTAAAATTGCAGTATAGCGGCCTAGCTCGGATTTGACTGAAATTTTTTGTGTGAATACCCTAAGGTCCCATATGCATAAAAATACCTTTTTTCGCGGCGGTTTCAAAAAATAAAATTTCTAAAAATTCTTGAAATTTTGTATAAAAATAATTTTTCTCTTAGATTTTCATGAAAATGGCTTTTGAAAAAGGAGAGCTAGCAAGTAGTGCTACCTAGGAGAGCTAGCTAGTAGTGCTAACTATGAGAGCTATCTGGGAGAGCTAGCTAGTAGTGCTACCTAGGAGAGCTAGCTAGTAGTGCTACCTAGGAGAGCTATCTGGGAGAGCTAGCTAGTAGTGGTACCTAGGAGAGCTAGCTAGGAGTGCTGGAAACTAGAAATCTCATCTTACCCCGAAAATCTGATTTTACCACAAAATATTCCTATCGTGTGGGAAACTGAGACAAAGTCTTGAAATTCTCTGGAACATCCAAGAAAAATTTGTATACAAAATTTCAATAATTTATAACTTTTTTACTATTGAATGTATTTCAAAAAATCCTTCATATTCTTGTTCAGCATAGTTTGATTAGTCTATAAAATCATTTTCAGGAAAATCTGAGGCAAAAAATAATTTTTATACAAAATTTCGAAGCTTTCTAGAAATTTTAATTTTCGAGACCGCCGCAAAAAAAAGTATTTTCTTGCTCAGGGGACCATAATAGGTATTTACACAAAAATTATCAGCCAAATCCGAGCTAGTCCACTGAAATAAATCCGAGCTAGGCCGTAATGATGCAATTTTACCAAAAATAATTTACAAAATTCACTCCCCAATCACTACAGAAGAGAATAAGAACCAGTTCAAAATAATAAATTAAAGAAGGAAGGTTGAAGTTTATTAATTATTTGGAACATTTGTTATAATTTATAATTAATTCTCCAGTATAATTATTCGACTTGAGTAAACAAGAGGAGAGAAAAACAGAACGAGAGTGGGCATGGATGAGTGTTCAAAAGTTGTTTTCCCACGTCCAAAAAGCATCCTCGCGAAAGAAACAGTCTATTCCAAGATATATTTTGTCGTATGTTTCTTTTCCAGATTTCGCATCAAATTCCGCCCACAGACTGCACCTACTTTCAAGCTGATTCTCTTCAATCTGTTCTTAAATTTTCGTAAGGTGTAAATTGAGGATCAGACGATTATTTATGAGCCAATTGTACTTTCCAACTTGGTTAATCTTAACTTTAAAAATATTGGTGCATGTTTCATTACGAAATTTGTGATGGTTTTCAACTTCCCAAACATAGAAAGGGTAAATATTCATGGGCCTGAGGAGAAAGAAGCGTATCATCGCATTCTCATCACAACGTTTAGACAACAGTCAAAGAACTTTGTGAGTGTGACCACCCTGTGCACGTACAAATGTAGGTGATAAGATATGAAAAACATCAATACATCCTGCCTTTGTTGAGTTTCATTCAAGTTGTTTGTGTTTCCGGAGTCAATACACAGCGTATTTTTATCGTTTAAAATTGTTTGTATTTCTGCAATCAGTACACAGTTTTTTTGTTTATCGTTTCAAATGGTTTGTGCTTCCATGGTTACTTACCAATATTTAGTTAAGACGAGGAAGTAAATAGCTGCAATGACTGGGACGTTGATTTGTATGCAGATTTTGCCCCTTTTTAGCCATTCAATAAAAAAAGATTGAATAAAATATCCATACATATCACACTGTGACGTAAAGTCGTGTTTATTGAGTTCATCATGTCGCTATCGCTTATCAATACTTGTGGGGCATAACCACTGTCCATTTGTAATATGTCTGGTTTGTGTTACCTTGTTAAATTGGTAGCAACATCTTAGCGAGCGATTGAGCTGGAAAGAGTGTAATGTAGTACGTATATTTTATAGTGATTCTTATTCTTACCCGAGACAATATTGTAAGCCCAAGGGGCGGATTCAATATTCGTTTTCCTCCCATCAGACTGGATAATATTAAACAACAACAGACTATATAGTCTGTTGCAAAATTATTATATAATAATTTTTTTAAGTTGACTCGGGCTTAAGGTAAGCTCTATCTTAACACGTACATACTTCCTACGTTTAATATATTTATGTATTGTAGCTAAAATTAAATTTTGTATAAGAACTGTATTTAATTCGTTCAAATATTATTTACAAATAGATGACTTTACTGGAAAACATTTCTGGCGCGGTGGACATTTTAGCTAAAAGTATACCCGTTATAACTAATTTAAATCAACTTTTTCAAGCGATGGAACTCCCACCAGATAAAATTGTAGATATTACTCGGAATCATTATAATTCCATAAAGGAAAGATTAACCGTAGCTTTGCAGGCTTGGAAAGAATTAGTAGGAAGTCGTGCAACGGTGGAACACCTGGTACGTATTTTGCTGGCCTTACAGCACAAGGATTCTGCAGGTGGGATAGGGGCAAACTAATAATGAAGAGGCGTAAGGCGGTAATATCTGCAGCTGATTTTCAATCTAAAACTGATAAGCTGATTTTAAACTGTTCAAGCTCTGAAATAGGCCACCCATATTTTTGCGTTTTCCAGAATGCGAATGTTTTCCACCGTGGAGGAATTTAAAAAATTATAGCCAAATCAGGATTTTTCAAAACGCTCTCACTTTTCGAATTTGAACAATTAAAGTTTTGTGCATTGAAAAAATTCAAAGCATCAAAATGAAAGGATGAATTTTTTAATTCATTTGTATAATATTCGGGGAAGCAATTCTGAGAAAAATTGTGTTCAAATTTTGAAATCTGATCTGAACTCGAAAAATTACAGCTTTTTAGAAAATCCGGATTTTGGGTCATTTTTTCTATTCCGCCACCAAATACAAAAAATGTGCATTCTGTAAAACGCAAAAATACGGGTTCGCTTATTTCTGAGCGTAAAAAATTTGTCATTAGTCCGGTCAAAATAAATAACCACCTTACACCTCCTCATTGTAGGTCGAATAGAATAAAGTATAAATAAGCAACACTTAATTATTTTATTGTAGAAATGATACAGAATTCGGCCGAAGCATTAGGCCCCACCTCGATTCCGGATTCAACGAGCATTATAGGTGAGTCGTGTAACGGGTCAACCCAGTTAAAATTGATCTGCAAGGTCGGGTTCGGGCTGGTCGGGTTTAGAAATTTATGGGGTTTTCAAAATGTTTGACCCGATTAACCTTTCTCTAATATCACGATGGTCAGACTGCCGCCGAATCAATACATCCATTAACCCACCTCTCTACGAGTTTTGCTCAATAAGGGTACAGTACCTTTATTGAGCAAAACTGAGTACCCTGGGTATTCATTCTCACCGAGCAGTATGTCCTAATCCCTTAAAATCCCTTAAAAAGCACCTTAAAATTGTGCGATCGACTTGAAATGAAAAATTTAAAAGTTTAATTTCTGCTTTAAATGTCAAATCACCATTACTGGGTTTCGACTTAATTTAGATCGAAATCCAGCAAATTGATCGCCAAGTTTTACCTGCTTTTATATAGTGTCAAAAAAGGTCATGGCGATAAACAAATAGCAGAACTAAATTTATGTGGTCACTAAATATAGCCTAAAATTTGGAATGTCATGCCGATCGCACATCTTTACGTTGTTTACGTTTGGGATCAGCTTACAAGGCTCCTGGTTATTGAGAAAAAGCCGTGCCGGGAGGGTTAATGTTTGGAATGACTCGGCGACCTGACTACGATTTCCACCACCACAGATTTGGAAGAGTCTGCTGCACTACTTCGGGGGACCCTTACAAACAATAATGCTTCACCACCTCAAGATGTTCTGCTCCCTACACAGGAACAATCGACAAATCGTACGTTTAATAATGATGAAGTTATGTATGCCAACTAAAAATAACAATTTCCTTAAATTTCAGCCGAAGAGGGCCAAACATCACAAATTTTCCGGAAAGTAACAACTGGAATAAGCTTACTAGTAATTATTATCATGACCGTGTTATTTGCATGTTATCACATCATTCCAATCAGAGTTCTGGATAAATATTCGTCAGATAGACCAGAAATAGTCACACGTACAGAAAACTATCCAACTACTCCGTCACTTTCTAGACAGCATAAAAACGAATGTGTAGCTTTAAGAAAGAAAGGCAAAATGAGATGTCCGATAAATCATGAAATCCCTCACCAGAATTTAAGAATTGTCACGTTAAATGATAATAATCACCACGATTTCTGTGACGCGGAACATAAGGGATGCTTCCTTGGTGGTAACCCTGACAACGATGACTTCTCATCTGACCAAGAATTTTGTCCCCATAATCTCGTAGCCCTTGAAATTTTAAGTGCCATAAGGAGAAAAAGGTTGACCAATTTTTTGGACAGGTATTGCTTGCTGGGGTCACTTTTATTTGGGAAGAATGCATCAGTAGAAGCTACACCAGGAACAAGTTATCTCTCAGATAAGCTGAATTATCCATCATTGCAATCGCTATCATTTGAGGGAACAGTAAATGTTAGCGTAATTCTAGCTAATCTTTCGGATCATGTCAGTTTTCCTTGTTTGGTTGAGATCAATCTAAGTTGTGTAATACTGATGGCGGAGGACATTACAAGTCTTCGTAACTTGGTCGCATCCAGTGGAAGTTTGAGAAGGATTAATTGTCAGGATAACAACTTTTGTGAAAATTTACTCGATGTCAATAACGGACATGAATTAAATAGGAATTTTACCAGAACAATTTGTTGAGTGCAAACAACTTGTTCTGGATAGATAAATTTATTATGTATCTTTTATCATGTATTATATATGTTTGATCATATATGTATTATGTATATAGTGTATTATGTATGTGTTTCTGTGCATACATTTTTAATTAGTTCTGAGTACGCAGTCTGACCACTCAATAAAAATATTGACATATTTAAGAATATAAACACAGGAGGATAGAGTTTATACGAGAATTTATATATGCACCCTAAATAAATCATATCTAGGGTCGAGGCATCATGTCCTTCCTGTGCTACATAACTACAGCATGGGGCCAATAGTCCCGTAAATGTTGAATAGAAGTCAAAAATCTCGGAAAATTAATGACATATTTTATGTGCGACCCATAAGCCCCACCTCCTCAAGTCCTACACTATGCTATGCTAGCGTCCCCATGGGAACGTCCTTATATTACTTGATCAGAACGTTGAGTGGGTGTTTTTGGGTTGCCTATCTTACTCGTGTTACGTATGTAAGCTTTACATGTGTCCGGTAGGGAAGGGTTGAGCATTATGTATGTAGGTGATGTAAAAATCGACGTTTTTCTGATGACATAATATATGCGCTCGCTCCATTCGCCATGCGCCCCCCCAACCTCCACGACCACTGCGTACCGTTCATATTCATTTTGTTGGTTAGAGGGAGGGTCAACATATTACATTATGGTTAGTGAAAAAATTAACTTGATTACTACTCTAAGTCGTGGGGGACGGTTTTGGGTGGCTGATTTTACTCGTGTGGCTTATCTTGCGAACCGACTATTCGATGACGTCAGCGGTCTCGCTCCGATTTTGATTAAACCACGATAATTATGTAGCCTTATGTAAATAATTGAGCACATGTTTCGGGATTTTTCATAATGTTCAGTTTAAACAAAGTTAAGATGGTATTCAATATATTAATTCCATTCCTTGTAATTCCTGCAGACGCATCCATGGTGCATCCAATTTTTTGACCGTTTTATATAGTGCATTTTATGTGTTCATCACCAGCTATAACTCGATCGGGGATTCATCGGTTAAGAGGATATGCGGGCAGGATTCTTTACCTTGATTTTGTCGCATAAATGGCCAGTTTTTTTAACAGTTTCCTCGTATTCTATACAATTTTCAGTGTTCCTTTGTGTCATTTGAGTTTAAATGGCTATCGTATAGACCGTGTTATTCTATTTAATTCATTTCACAAATTTCTGCGATGAGCAACGAGTAATTTTCATGTTCTTTTCTTTAAGCTGTTTTTAGTAATTTTGCTCTATTGTACAATTAAGTGTCAAACTTCCAGTTTTTGTTGAATCTTGGGCTTAATCATTATTTTCGTAATAGGCGACATCTCCCTACGTCGCCCTGACCATTTTTTGGATGTATAGAAATTGTTGTTACTCCGTAGCGTTACTGTTTTCTTAGCACATCCAAAATTCTCTGAATTTTCTTGTGATTTTAATAGGTGTACAAGTAACGTTTGTGTCTGAACTTTATCACGTTCATAATTAACCCTTTGTATTGGACCTCTCATGGTAAAATTTTCAAATTGAAATATTGAGGGTATTCATTATTTCTTCGTATCCATCGTATCGTAAAATAGTTTACGAAGAAAAAACAAGGGGTCAAGTTTAGTAAAAATCGTAAGCGTAGTAACGTGATTTTCGATGACAAAATCTTACGACGCTTACAAAATCTCGTAAGCTTCGTAAGTTATTTTACGATACGAAGAATACTAAGGATACGAAGAAATAATGAATACCCTCATTCAGTGGTTCAGAAATGACAGCTGATTTTTATCTTGAACTCGTGCAAAAAAAATAGTCGGGAGATACATTTGGGCCACCCTTTACTTTATGTTTGTCTTACGTGTATACGCTATGATGCATCGCTCTCTTCAATCTGTTCAGGGGCTTTTTGATGTAACTATTGGTTTGTTAATAGCTGCAGCAATGGTCCCCGCTATTATCGCCTTGTACCTGTCCATTTCTGCGTACACCATGGTACCACTTGCAATTTATTGGAGTTTTCCTTTCTTCGCATTTACCTCTGTCTGTCTCCTGCAAATCTTCCTAATTACTATCATCTATGTGAGCGAGGGGTCGATCGCTACCATTTTACAGTTGAAAATAGTACTCGCGAAAGTTCCGCAGGTTAAGGTTAGCCAGGTAATAAATTTGAGGAAGTTGTTGCGAAGAAGAATCAGTGTTATGCGGCCGTTTGAATTTTGCGCCGGTGTGTTTGATAACAGATTCCACAAATTAGGAAAAAGCACTAAACTTGCGATTATTGAGAATATTTCCGGTTTTACGATTTCGTCACTTTTAGCTCAGCGGAATTGAAATATTGGGGGAAATGGTTTAATTAAGGAGGAAAACAAAGGTCGTCCTGAAAAATCGTGGTCAAGGTGCGGAAGTAAGATACTTGTGGTTTTTGGAAGGTCATCGATCTTCACCTTTCGCTCTTCGCGGCCTCAAATCTGTTGAAATTTTAAAGGGTTTCTCCTACATATACCAACCAAATGTTAAACTTTATCAGTCGCTTAACGAAAATCCTGTACATTTCCCAATGTTAAATTTTTGATTTTTAAGTTTTACGAGTTTTATGAAAAGTTCTGAATTTTACCTCCCGCACATGTACCACAACATATTTATAACGTGCCTGAATTAATGAATTTTCTTGTAGTCAATCTTACTCGTTAAATCGGTAACTTATTAAAAAGAAAAATTTACTCTGGCTATATGTCGTAAAGTACACGTAACATAGAATTCAGAGTGCAGCTAAGTACTTTTAGTGAGTGTTACACGCATTCAGTCCAAAAATGATGCAGAACATTGATCCACATACATAACCACTTTCTCCACGGGTGAAATGGTTCTAGAAGAAGTAGTTTTACTTCTAAAATTTAAATTCTATCAGTAAAAATGATAAAATATAGAAGCCTGTATAAATGATTCAAAAAAGTATTAATACTTTCCACTTCAGACATTCACACTTTGAACACGGATTAAGTGCCCTGTATCAATATCATCACGGAGTGCATATGTGACATCACTACATTTGTAACAGTGTAAGAAATCTCTAAAGCGCGGCTGTCGAAGTAAAAACAACGGGTAAAGATTATTTTCCTAAAGAAGCAGGAAATACCCGATGAAATACAAAAGCAACAAAATCAATTTTGCGATATCCGCTGAAGAGATCATAAATCCTGAATGTACGGTAACGCTAGGTAAGTATAAGAGATATATGTATTCAACTTGTTGTCAAACTTTAAATCTTCAAACGTTTTATAATATACACATATTTGCCTAAGCAACGAGTAAATGAGTACTTAATTGGTCGCTACCTACATACTTTCATGCACAAATTAATAAAAGCAGTTAATACTTTATAACCTCAAATTAAGTGCGGCTCCGATAATTGAATTATAAAATCAGCGATATGGATTGATAATGTGCAAGTGACGCAGGTTGGGTGACTTAAAATTAGAAATTTATCATTGCTTCCAACACTTAATTATATAACATTTAATTGTAGAACAAGATTGATATTTTTATTATATTGTTTTATTATAGCAGCCACACGTATGCTCTTTTAATATATCATTGATCATGTTTATTTGAAGTGGTTCGACATTATTGTAAGAATGGTTTATCAAATAGTTTTCGCGATGTGTTAAAATTATTGAAAATTTTGTTATCCATTGCTAAGCAAATACATACATACATATAATCTACTGAAAACTAGGTAAGGTTTTGTTTGCCTTCTACATAGTAAATCTCCAGTTTCTGCTATGCAAGAAGTTGACAGCTTTAGAAAATCTACTTTTCAATTTTGTCATTCGTTTACCCAAATTCATTTCCGCCATCTCCCTGCAAGCCCGTTTTATATTTCTTCGTACCGCAGCGGTAGTCTTCCCGGCTTTCTTCATATCACACTTTGGATCTGACTCTTTATCAACAAAAGGCTGTCTATGCTTCAGTTCAAATTGATTCATATGGTTTAACTTAGCCTGTACTTGTTGATTAGCCCAACCCCTTAATTCCGTGTCCTCCGGCCGGGACGTATCCAACTGAAACTCTTTTCTAAGTTTCGTCCGTTCGTCTTCAGTTATCATTCCAAGCTTAACATGAACCTTGAGAGCGTCGTAAATTCCGGCTTTATACTTTTCAAATGTGTCCTCGTTATGCTGTCGATGTGTTTTATCCCCTAAACTTTTCCTGTATTCTTCAACCGATAACCAAACAACTTTGTAGTACTCTCCATTAGCCATGTGTTCCTTGAGTTTGGTCACGAATTTCCTATTGTAGTTAAGTTCGCCTGTTGCAGTGTTCATAGTTTTTTGCAGTGATTCCTTATAAACTTTTGCCCCGGTCGTTGTAAACTCTCTATGCAGCCTTCGCTTCATTGACAAGGCTGGCATGTCTGTCTCCGCCAATTTTTGTAATTCAGGGTCCGGCGAGTACTGGTAAATGGATTTTGGCGGAAAATGGTCAGATTCGACCACTCCTTGCCTAGAAGCAGTGTCTCTCAAAACGCCGTAGGTACCTCCAATCCCAACAAGTTGGGTTTTGTACTCTTCCTTACTGATCCAATCCTTCACGCCAATGTTCTCGTCCTTGTGAAGCTTCTTCGATTCAGGACGTTCGTCTTCGGCAGTATGAAGGTTAGGATTTGGACGCGGTCTTTTTGGCGCTGCTTCGGTATGCAGATAGAGGAGGAATAGGAGGGCCAATAGTTTTAATGGAATTGCAGACATCTCAATAAGATTTGGTGATCCTGCTGGAAGAAAGGTTAACAAACATGCCAAATTAATAGAGTGACATGCGTAAATTTCTAGAGTAAACTCATATAAATGAAACCGGTAGAAACTTCGTGCTAAGAAAAACATGTTTTTCACCCTTGTAAAGTTTTGTTAAATAAGGTTGTTCATTAAAACGACGACATAGTAGACGGAGAATTGTAACAACATTTTGTACCTTAATATGGTGGTGGAAGGAGTTATGTATATGTACCATAAATGTTACACTCTAAAAAAGTTAGATTTTTTATTGCTAAGCAAAGCGCAAGTGATACGGGTTTAAGTGGGCAGAAATAAGTTGTATATTTATCTATGTATCATTTTATGTATCAACAATTATGTTATAAATGGCTTACGCAGATGGGTCAAATAAATATT